TACTTAATAACTTCTTTAAGACGATGTAGCATAGTCTGCTAAATTAACAAAATAATGCACTAAGGTAGAAATCTCGAATACTAGCGTACGGAGTAGGAATAGGTAGGCGATATAGCAAGAGCGGTCAAGGTCAGATGTATCGGGGTACAAATACTAATGAAACGCCACTGTACGTCCTGGTATCAGATAGACACGCTGTTGTCGTTTGCTTAATCATTCGTAGCGTGCCGACATATACAACATGACTACACACCTTGGACATTTCCTAGCTTGCCCCATCCACCTTCTTCTCTGTTATCTCCTGAGTCAACAGCTTCACCGTCTCCGTCAACATCCTAACCTGCTCCTTCAGCTCTCTGAGTTCATATGTACAACTATCAACTTTGATATCCGGCGTGGACTCTACCACGTGCTCCTTCCAGGTATCATCAAGATCAAAATTGACCTCCTTAGCCACATGCTCCCATTCCTGGGCACTGTCATCGTCTTCTTCGCCATGGCGGCGATTCCATCGAATCCGGTGTGCCTGGCGGGTCTCAACCCAGGCTGCAACAATAAGAAGCGGCGAATAGATCACGCCCATTACAAGTTCATTCAGCCTGGCGTAGGCCTCCCGAGGAAGCCACCATTCGAATGGGGCTATCAGAAACACAATCTCGACGAGGTTGAATGCTAGAACCCAGAGAAAATTAGCATCACGTGTGCTATCGGGATTGAGTAGATACGTACGCGGGATGAAGACATTTTCATCTGGGGCGCGGACGAACTGCATGGTCTTCTGCGCGAAGATGGCCATGTACTCGTCCGTGGCATTGCCGGAGATATCTTCATATGCGCTGTTGTACAAGGCGATGAGAATATTCAACAAGACTGATAATTGTTAACATCACCCCAAACAAGTCGAACGCAAACTTACCAGTCATAACAATGAAGTTGAAAACATAGTAGAGGATGATGCCAAAGGGAAACGCAAAATCCTGGAAAGTGTCGAACTCAGGACTCTGCATGATACTGTTTACCATTCCCTGGAGAATGTTTCGGTGGAGGGGAATATCGGCATCCACCTGGGCCATGCCAACAAAGGCCTGGAAGAAACCAGCTAAAACCACAAATAGAAGAGCAAAGAATATCAAACTCTCCTTCATCATGACTCGAAGAACCACAAACATAGCACCGAAGAAGCGGAACGAGTCAAGATACAGCATCATGCGCATCCAGAACATAGGGCCCGCAAAAGCCAGGAAGTTATAGCTGAGCTCGTTGTACAGCCGCCTTTGCTCATCGTGGGTAGATGATGAGTGCGCCAAGGCAATAAAGCGCAAGACAAGTGATACCGTCAGGATGGTGTAGAGGGTTGAGTTGAAAGCATTCCAGAACTCGAGGTAATTCCATCCAACCTTCCAAAACTTGATCGCTTCGTCGCAGATGAACGCCAGAGTCATACCGTAAAGAATGGCCTCGACCACATCCACGTCACCGCTTGGGTTCACGGTATTGATAACTGCCGTATAAACCGCAAGGTAAATCAAGGAGAACAAAATTTGGCAGACATTCTGATACAGAGGAGTTCGCATCCGATCAGGATGGAAATGAACCCAATATCCGGTGTTAGACTTCTCGCTGTATTCGACAAAGTTAGTTGGGTTGCCCTCTTCCTGACAGATCCAACCCTTCCACAGGTACTGGATACATTTCTGGTACGGGGCAGAGCTGATGATCCTCAAGGCATGGAGATCTACCGCTCGTTCAATGACATTGGCGGGATCAGTTTCTACCCCTTCACTGAAGATAGAGTACCGCTTGAGTAGAATATCCCTCATGACGTAATCCTGGTTCTGCTCGGATTCGATACTGTTCAAGTTAGTAAATCGCAGGGAATCTGAATCGTCAAAGGGTTGTTACATGCGCTTGGCGATGACCTCGCAAGCCACAGCCCGAACCTCATGGAGATCGGAATCCCAAAGCTCGACGGAGGATTGGATTTTGAACCATCGCAGACAAACCAGAAGACAATAAACAACACATGCTTTGTAGTCATCTCCGCCAGCTTGCTTAGCAGTCTCAACCACATCGTCCGTGATGATACGGCTGTTTGGGTTGGTTAAGGCATTCTCCTCTACCTCGCAGGAGACAACCTGCTCGATTTGATATTTCAACCGAAGAGCAACCTTAGCTATTTCCTTTGAAGCATCAGAGGCGTCAGACTCATCGGCAGCATAGGCAGGTAGCACTGGGGCTTGTTAGCAGTGTTCAACAAGGGGTGTCGGATATGACGTACGCCGACGACGTTCCACCTCGACGCGGTGCCGGGTCCTGCCAGGATCGGCGGTAAAGAGATTTCTCCAATGTCCCATGTCGAGTAGAATAGGCAAAAATAGGCAAAAGTCGATGGTAACAGGGAGAGAGAAAAGATCAAGAAAGGGAGAAGTTTGGCGCACCGAGAGTTTGGAGGGGGCACCAATGATGATCGGCGGTAGATAAACTTCAGCTCCCCAAGCTCCCCGCGATCTAATTGGGCATTTGATTGAAGTTCAGATGGATTTATGTATCTATATGTAGGTACATATGTAGTCTCTACAAGGGTACAATTCGCATTTAAAAGCATGACTGGCATTGAACGTCTCGGTTGCATCGCAAACATTATGTGCATTAGAACTTGCACCCTGTGCGGACCCCAGCGTCTTTGACAGACGGTGGGCACGAGGATTTCGACCGCAATTGGCATGCAGCGCATGCACAGGCGTGGAAAAATCATCCCCAGACCCGAAGTTCAGGCGATTGCCCTGGCTAAGGGGCAAGTTCTGACTGCAATCCTGCCCAACAGGACGCTGAGCCATCGAGCCATCCTCCGATATGTGCAAGCTTTTTTTCTATCCATTTTTGCCCAACCTCCTCTAGCGGTGATTCCAGCCTTGGGTTCCAGCGGCGATGACCGCTGTATGCCCCTCGACTCGGAGTTAGGACCCGTAACCTACTCGGGAACTCCCTCATCACTTTCGGAGTCCTCATCTCCGCTGACCTGGGTGTTCTCACGCTCGCGCTTCTCCATGAGCTCCTGCAGAATCGCATCGTCGTGCTCAGTCACGGCCTTAGGTGCCATCTTCACGGTGCAGCTACCGCCGTTCGCCTTGATACTCTTTTCGATCTTCACAATGGCCTCCTCAAGCAACTTCACACCGAGTGTCTTGTCGAGACATTGGCTGGCCAGGACGTAGAGAGGAGGAGCCACCAGCCTGACCTTGATCTGGTTCTCGGGGGTGTTGTCGGCCTCAGCGGTGCGGAGGGCATCCTTGACAGCATCGATTCCATCGTAACCAAAGCAGGTGACCTCGATATCGGCACGGACCTTGGTGGGGTGCGGGGTTAGCTTGCTGTTGATGTATTGCTGCAGCTCATTCTTGACGGGCTCGCTGGGGAAGGTGATCTCATCCCAGACGGTGGGGTTTCTGGAAGAAATCTGTCAGGAATTCGATCATACCATGAGACAAAAAGAACAAGAACCTACGTAATGGAGATCTTGAAGGCATCATGCGCGTGGCCATATTTTTGGTTCAAAGGCCACCCGATGTTCTCGTATAGGGTCTCCAGGGGGGTCTGAGTCGCCTCTGCGACGTGGCGCATGATAGAGTGCACTGCCTTGCTCTTGTTGTAACGTTCCTCGCACTTGATGACATCCTCGGGAGAAACACGTCGCTTTGACAGATCGATGTAACCTTGAAGTTGACAGGTTAGTTCTCGGGTTCTTCTAAGTGAATAATGTATCCTTGCCTTTCTCCTTGTCAACACGAAGCACGATAACCACCTCATTGCGCCCAATGCGGATGAGCTTCTGGATACTGCGAATACGTCTGCGAGAGAGTTCTGAGAGGAGGATCATGCCATCGATGTTGTCATATTCAAGCAGCTTCACGTATGCGCCCATCTCGGCGATCTAGCTCGGTCACACAAAAAGTCAGTCCCTATCGCTCCGGTCTCTCAGCTCATGATTCGGTTGATCCGTACCTGCTTGA